CATAAATTTTGCAAAGTAAATGTACAATTTCCACTTAACAGTCGTTCTTTAAAAGTAACCTAGTTGCTCAGTAAGAAATTTTTTCGTTAATTCTTTTAAGTACCCGTAAGTAAGAACCATGCATACCTCAAGCCTGAATTTGAAGTACTTAAGTTGTACTTGGGCAGGGAACATTCCCCCAAAATTTCAGTTCTCCAGCTTTTCTGGTTACCGAGTTAGCAATCTTCCCGCCAAAACCTTCACATACCCGTACTTGGGTACTCCACGTGCTTGGAAAGCTGAATTTGGAATTTTTAAATTGCACGCGGACAGGGAACATCCCCTTAAAATTTCAGCCTTCCAGCTCTTCTCGTTGCCGAGTTGGTAATTTTCCTGCAGAAACTTTCATACGCCCTTAATACCATGCATAGCTTGGGACTGAATTTGAAATATTTGAGTTTTGCTTGGATAGGGAAGATTCCCCCAAAATTTCAGTTTCTAGCTTTCCTGGTACCCGAATTAGCAATTTTCCCATAAAACTTTCATGCGCCCTTACGTGAGTACCGCGTATACCTGGCGGCTGGATTTGAAATCTTTAGCTGGTACATGCAAAGGGAATATCCCTACAAAGTTCCAATCCCTTAGCTCGTGTGGTCCCCGAGGTCGCCTTCCCGCCAAAAAATTTGCATATTTTTTAAAGCATCCGCACGCGGCACCCACGCGTCCGCGAGGGATAAAAAACGGGAAGGTCGCGCACAGTATGGGCAAATGGTTCTGGAGTTGAAAGTGGATGACAAAAAGTTGAAAGTGGGTGACAAAAACACACATACATACCTCTTCCCAATATGCGTTTTTGCAATTTGCATATATGCAAAAACCCAGAAAAAACGGGACCAGTAGTATCCACTTTCGCATCTCCTTCCATCGAGGACAGTTTTCTCTCCACAAAGATATTTTGCACAAACTTTTTTTTTAATTCTTGGTTCGGAGCGTATGCGAAAGAACGACAAATGCGAGCAATGCACACAATCAACAAACGGTACAAACAGGACATGAGGACAGCGGCAGAATCGTACTTCGTCTGTCGATTGCTGCACCGCAGTAACATGACAATCACTCTATACTAACGGCCCAACGATGAGCTTAGAGATGTGTTCTCCAGTGAGCATAACACTTCCCTCCATCTTGACAAAAGCGCTAAAATTTACGGGAAAAAAGCAATCGTAAGGCTGGCGAACAAAAAGCTAGTAGAGGTCGAATCATAACTGCAAATGCAACACCGGCGAGAAGAATGTAGAGGAAGCGCCACTGTGGAGAAAATAGACGTTTTTTAAGCCTCAAAATAAATACGCTAAAAAGCAGAAGCTTATATATACATATGTATATGTACATATATATATGTATGCATATATATGTACATACATATATAGCCACTAAGTCTAGAAGAAGCAGCTATAACGTTCGAAAACAAAACTGGCAGAAAATAATACACCACACTGCTCACACTACGTAAGTTTTTGCAAAGAACGAGCCTTTCTCTGGATCTGCGACGTTTCACATCTCTGCTTCCCGGTGAACGCGCCCTTTCACTTCGTCGTTCCTTTTCTCTGCTTCGTTTTCGTCTCTTTTCGTTACTACTACTATCATGTCGTTCTCGACTTCTCGAACCACGCACAGCTGTCCGCTCACTGACCCTTCCAAACAGATTACGTTCACGACTTCTTGAACGAAACGCACGTCTGCGAACAGGCGACCTGCTTCGTATCCGAGTTTTCGTCGAACTCCCGAGATCTTCGGGACTGGACGATCGACGTGTTTTCAGCTCACTAAAATAATTAACTCTTACTGAGACAATGTGTGTTCGACAAGAGCAACTCCTGCAAAATCATACAATCTGAAAGCATTTTTGCAAAATACAATAGCTTAGCTTTAATTACAAGACTGGACCACCGCCATGGGTCGAGTACAAACAGGAGATAAAAAGTTGTTTGCAGAAAGGCTCCCAGTGCTCGGCGTGTGAATACATCTCTTTGAAATCAGTGATTCACAGTGGTAGTAATATGGGCTTCACAGATACTTGTTTCAGCAATATGATCAGTTTCGCGCTGGGCACGGGGTACTTCAACTATGCAGCTAACAACTTTCCCACTTTCATGAATGAAAATACAGTGTGAAAGAGAGGAAAACACGGACGAAAGCAACCAAGTCGATACAGCTAAGCCGTAGATGTTGAAAAGCTGCCTACGCCCCATCCCGAGACACAGAAAACACTGTTTTGAAGTATGGAGTCACTTTAATTAAGATATTGTGCGCGCGCTTAGTCGTCCATAGAAAAACCAAACACAACTAGTGTTGCAAAAAGGTGCTAGTAGCAAGGGAACGATGGTGATTAAACCCTCTTCGCCTTGCCCAGTTGCCCTTCGGTCCTGCTATATGCAAGTGTTCCGTCTCTTGACTCGAGCTCCCCCTTCGTGATATTTAATGTGCTGACTAGAAATGAACTTGAAATTGTTTA